AGTTCAAAATATATGAACTTCATATATTCACTGTATATCTCGCTGGTAAGAACTGTTGCAAAATATGACTCATATGCAAAACAAAAAACCAGCCGCATCCCACATATTTATGAGTAACCTGTTCCACAAGAGAAAGATGATTGAAAATTATATTGTCTAATTGACATTCAACCTTCTCAAATTGTAGCAACTTTCTTTGGCTTAATTCGCTGATTTAAACTATGAAATGCTTTCTTTTTAGATCAAAAAAAATTCCAGGAAGCTTCCACGATGTGCAGATCACATCTTTTGAGTTATTTCTGCAGGGAAAAATATTGATATAAATTATGCGACGGTGGATGCCACTGTGAAATTATTTTGAGTCGCTGATCTTCCTTTACAGTATTATATTTTCTTGCGTTTGACTTGGTAATTAGCAGGAAAATATGCTCTTATCGGTATCCTATCATTATGTTGGGCATGTTTACCGGTAAGTGGGTAATTAGTGGGGGTGTAAATTTGGGAGGACGGGTTTTGTCTTTCATCTCGGTCTTGCTTTTCCAGGGTTCGGGTTATTTTTCTTTGTTTTTGAAGTTTTCGTGTGGGTATATGTGTGTTTTTTCTGCTTTTATTTTGCAGATATGGTCGGATCTTCGGGCTACTGTTCCCCAGGGATCTGGTGCTTTACTCTGTAAGTTCTCTTTACTTTGTAAGTTCTCTCCCGGCTGTTGCGCTGGCTAGTAGAGCACCCATTACTTCATCCAAGTATTTCTCTTCTTACAACAGATGGCCAAAGTCTTGGGCCCAAGAACATGGCTTGACAGCTTTCCTGCATCTCCGTGTCACTTCGCCATTTATTTGCGTCATCTAATGACTGAGGCGAAGACAGCATCTCCCCTGGAGTCAGCAGGTCATACCATTGCCCGGCTTCATCAGTTGGGTGGCGAGCCGTCTCCTACTGAACATCTGTCGGTGAAAAGTATTCTTGCATTGCCGGTGCGCAGCGTTCGTTGGCTCATCACACATCCAAGATGGAGCCTATCACAGTCTCTCAGTTAGAAAAGTTAGTTGCCTTCAAGGCGGACTCGGTGGCCTATTTGTACAATACTCGTTGGGTTGTTATATGCTTGCTAGCTTTTTCTGCCTTTCTCAGATTTGATGAGCTTACTAAGCTTGTTCGATCTGATGTTAAAATCAATATTGACCTGTTGAAGTTATTTATTCATTCGATCAGTATAGGGATGGAGCTTGGATTGTTGTAGCTTCTTTGGAAAAGCAACTTGTCCGGTTGCTATGATGAACCGTTATTTAGAAAGAGCCGGGTTTTCCTGCGATAGCCCTTTGTTTTGTCAGCTTGCCAATATTGAATGTGGATATAAGCCAGTGACCAAAAGTTTAAACTATTCGGGGTTAAGAGAATTAGTGGTAGAGGCTTTTAAAAATATTGTAAAGGATATTTCTGCCATTGGAACGCATAGTATTAGGAGTGGCGGGGCTACTGCTGCCGCAAATGCTATCGTGCCGGACCATCTTTTCAAGCGTCATCACTCTTGAGTTAGTAAATCGGCTAAGGACGAGTATGTTCAAGATTCTTTATCTTCACGCTTGTCAGTTTCTAAGTGTTTAGTTATTTAGTTTTCTCGTGCGTTCCGCTTTTTAATCTATTCTAGTATCTACTTAGTTGGTCTTGCCCGGGAGACCTTTGTTTATGGGGTACAGCTTGCCTGGGGTTTTCCTCCAAGGTGCTAGTGGTTGTACGGGAAGGATTTTCACCCAGCTGTTGTTCCACGTCTCATGTCAGTTAACTTGTGATTTAGATCTTTGGAGCTGAATGTTACATGGCCTATATAAAATTTTTGGTTTTACATAAATAATTTCCTGATTTTAACTATAAAATGTTCTCTCTTTGAAGAAAAAGGTATTCCTTTAAGTTTCATGATGCTCCTCTAACCTACTGAGATATTTCTGCAAGAAACACTTTAGTTTTTAAAAACGCGCGCAATCCTGAAGTGATTGCTTATCATCTACTGCTGTCTTCCGTTGTTCTATGGCAAGAACTGAAAAAAATTTGTGCTAGTGGCTATAAGCCAGAAATGACAAAAGGTAATAACTCAACTGTGTATCGAATGCTAATGTTGAACTACTAAAACACTCCGGAAAAGAAACAATAAATAGCACCAGGTAACATTGGGTCAAAATTGGGCCAAGATCAGAATTCTGTTGTTACACTTACTCACTCACTCATCACGACAACATATTTGGCTTCCCCTCCTTCAGGAGGCAGTAGCCACAAGAAAGTCAATGCAAATCTAAACATACTCCCTGGGTAACTGACGAGTAACGGCTAACGTTACACTGCCCTGTTTGTCGAAACATTCAACTTCAAAACCATTTAAATAGAGAATAAGAGAAGGAACTAGATCAATAATAATAATAATAATAATAATAATAATAATAATAATAATAATAACACCTTTATTTATACACGATGTTTAAAGCTGACAGCTTGTGGGGTCGTGTGTAAATCTAAATAAACTCCAAATTAAATAAATTCAAATGATGATGGTTTTTGAGGGAAGGGGAAAACCGGAGTACCCGGGAAAAACCTTTCGGAGCAGAGTAGAGAACCAACAAACTCAATCCACTTATGACGCCGGGTCCGGGAATCGAACCCGGGACACATTGGTGGAAGGCGAGCGCTCTCACCACGCCAACCCGGCCTGCTCCCCGCTCAACCAACCCTGCTCTACGCCAACCTTGCTCCCGACCCTCTCCCCTCACGTTAACAAGAATAAACGCTATTGACTGAACTAAAAACAATCTTTGAGTATAACTTACTCTACAACTTATTATTTCTTCGTTGTTTTGTGTTGGGGGTCTTTACCACTCGCTTGGCTTTTAACTAGAGGTACTGAGACTCTGGACTCTTCTCTCTTTTTCTTCTTCCCTACTACTACGTTTCGGGTCTCTTCTATCTCTACTGCTGCTGCTACTTTTCTTCTACTTTTAGCAAGGAGTGCCCACGCATTTCAATCACAGACATTTTGATAAGTAGTTTTTTAGGAAAGCTTTTCAAGATAAAAATTAGTGATAATAATTTTGAACGACGTTTCGACCTCGCTGAGGTCATTTTCAAGCTGATGAAAAGGAAAATTTTTACATCTTTGTACTAAATTCAAGACGTGGGAATGATAAGGGCGATAAAATATGGAAATATGTAAACGCTAGGCGTAAAATAGAAGTGATAAAATTGCAAAGGAGACAATTCGAATAAATTAATATGAGAGTTGACGAAAGTAAAACTATAAATATACGAAGATACCGTAGATTATTATAAAAATATTTTTTACGTGCAGTGAAGTTTTGTGTTTTGCAAGTTAAGTGACTTAAGTTAGGTAACCGTCCAGACGATCATGCAGAAACCAGAGGAGCTTTCGTTTTATATGAAAAAACCGGTGGTAATTTTCCATTAAAAGGAACCATACGATTTTCCTTTAAACAAAAATTAAAAAGGGAATTAGTTGCCGCGTCAGAATCAAATTTTCTTTTTATGAGCCTGACTTCCAAAATTTACAATGACAGCATGGTTAGCACAAAATTTCATACTTCGCCAAAGCATTAAAGAGTTGAAACATTGATATGGTGTTTTGTTCGATAACCGCGACAAAACAAAAATGAGACAAACTTCGGTCGAATATAAATATATTCAAGGAAGATAGCCATAGAATGACCGACCCATTTGCTTCCCTTTCGGTATAACGGGAGCGTTAGTTTTCCAATTCAAAGATGGACTCCCTCTAGTTTTGTATTGGGGCCCATTAGAGTATGTTTTAAATATAAGAGCACTTCCATAACCAGTCTTTTTTTAGCAGTGCCATGTATCATTTGCAGGTGAATCACCCACATCCCGGAGTAAAATTTAGAGAAATAGCTGGCTTACTGCAGACAGGACACCGCATGCCTAAGCCACCTCACATCTCACAAAAACTATAAGTGGTTTAAGAGCTCTTTAATCTCACCCCCTTAATATTAGAAATTTAAGACACGACACAGATGAAAAAATTACATTTTCCATTACTTTTCAGTTCACTATTAAAATAAACAGTAAATTCGCTTGGAATGAGCACTTTTTAAGAAAAGCGTACTTCATGTGATTCTCATTTTAGGTATTCCATAATGGCCAATTGCTGGGAAGAGAAAACATCGGAGAGACCAACATTTCAATGGCTCTGCTCTGTGATTAGGCGACTTCTGGATGATCACAAGGTTTGTCAGTTTGTCTTCCTTAAACATTTCCTCATTTTTTGATATGTTTTTGTTTGGCATTATGCTAGGTACTGCTTTTTCTTTCATGTACAAAAACAAACAAACAAACTTACAAAAAAACAAGAAACTCTAATCTTAATATATTTTGCTCAGTATTTTTTTAACTTAATTTAAACTGGAAGATCAAAACCTTGAGACACAAAGAGAGGGAGTATTAGGCAGAACTGGCATGATTAAGGCATTTCGGAAAAGAAACGAAAACAGGAGTAATAAAACGTCACGCCTATCAATCACACAGTTCTGTATTTTTGGATATTCTTATCTCAGAGAACTCGTTTCAGGATGTTCACCTTCTTTATAATGTAGAGAAAAAATTTCGATGGCCCACATAATTTCGTCTCGTTTAACGACCATTTCTCAAATCCAGATATCGTTCCTCAAAAAGTTCAACACTTTGAATCCTTGTGCTGCTATGTTCATCGTAAGCTAAATTAGATGCGTTTTGAGAAAAGAGGCATGTCAGATGACAGCCGTTGAAAAGGTAGAACTTTTTAATAAGAAACTAGACCTAAGTAATTGATGGACTGAGGAATGAAAATAAGGCTAGGAATGGTTTCGTAGATTAGTTTGACAAAGAACTTTTATACGAAACATGTCTCATCTATCTAATCTGTTCTCTAGACATATGTGAACTTGGCAGTCTACAACGGCGAGGACTATGTTAATTTCGATGTGATAAGGGATTAAAAATGATAAAAGACGTCTGATTCTACCATCAAGACTAAGGCGTGGAATTCCAGCGTAATTGACATAGGTTAAAGTGAATTCAAAGTTTCATTTTCTCTGTTCCAAATCAGATAAGTTAAAATACTGATAACGATACTATATTCTTAACTCAACACAGTGCTTCTTGAGATTTCGCACTACTGACCACAGACCCGATGTAACTGAGCTTCTAAATGAGTACTGTATGTGGAAATGACAGTGGAGAAGTTTTCTTAATACGGGGTTCCTATCAGAAACATGCTTGGTTTTATGCCTATTGTAAAAGCAAGTTATATCCAGTTGACAGTTTTGAACTGAGCAAATATTTTGGTTAACTTCGGGTTAGCTTTCAATGCGGATATTATTCAGAAACTGTCCAGCAGTACATCTGATCATTAAACAACGGAATTTTCTAATGAATAAAAATATTAATCGTTTTTTTTTTCATTTGCATTTCCGCCATTGTAAAGTGTAAACTTCAATTTACTTCTACTCGCGTTTTGAAATTATCTGAAGTAACCAAATTGTACCAAAAACCATTTTCATAAGAGTCAAAAATTGGAGTCATGATAAAAGCAGCCAGTTTTAAAACAAACGGTCGCACATGAATGACTCTACAGGGCTCCAATGAAAGTAATAAGTTCACTGCGCGCCATCAGCAAACTACTCCTGCACTGGTCATCACAAAAAACAATAATCATATCTTATCTACAACGCCCAGTAGTAGAGTATGTAACGGTATCGGTGTTACCGTTCTATTTACTTCCGGTCCACATTTACGTCATAACTACCATGGCAACAAAACTTTAGAGGCCATTCCGGTTGTTACGTTTTGTCGGACATCGATTAAACAAGAGCTGTTTTACCTCACTTGTGTGTGTATCTGTTCTTCCTATAAACAACGCCACATGGTGTCAGTGATTTGGGATTCATCCTACAGAATCGTCGCTGAAATACTTGTGTACATTTTCAAGCCAAACCTATTGAATCTAGCTCCAGATGGCCGAATCAGGCTCGTCGAGCATAGCGTCAACAAGCACGCAACCAGCAACTTCTCAATTTATCCAGTCCTCTATTCCTTTACCGTCGAAACTAGACTTCAAGGGGAACTTAGTCGTGAATTGGAAGACATTTAAGCGGCTTTGGACAAACTACGAGATCGCCTCACGGCTCAGTACGCAAAGTAGTAATCTTCGAACAGCCACATTGTTGATGGTTCGCCCTTCGGAAATGAAGAGGAGAAAACCGACATTGACAAAGTGATAGAGCTTCTAGACGCCTTTTTCATCGGTGAGACGAATGAAATATACGAGGCCTATCTGTTCAATCAGAGAGTACAGGAGGTCGGTGAGTCATTTGATGTTTTCCTTACAGCTTTACGTTCGTTAGCTAAAACATGCAATTTTGGTATCATGCAAGAGCGAATGATTAGAGACAGAGTTGTGGTAGGAATTAGAGATAACGCCACTCGAAAAAAGCTGCTAGCTGAGAACAAACTAACTCTTAACAAGTGTATTGATATTTGCCGTGCGAGTGAAACCACATCCAAACAACTCAAGGAGATGTCCCATGCGGAGGAGGTTAGCGCCGTTGCCACAGGCCACCCAAAATCGAAGATAGGTTTACGCCATAATAAAGTACGAAATCTCAGTAAAGTTCAACNAAGAAGATTTATGCTAACATGCGCTTGAGGGATGAAACAGTGAAATTCCAATTAGACTGTGGAGCAACAGTCAATATCCTCCCAGCAGATATTTATCAGCAGATATTTAAGGATCCGCGGATGGAACGCCTTCAGCCTACTGAAACTACCCTCGTCATGTTCAACAAATCAGAGCTGAAACCTCTAGGATGTACTAAGGTCGAGACCTTCAACCCCAAGAATGGACAGTGTTTCCTCACGGAATACACCGTTGTTCCAACAGGTCACACAGCACTCCTCGGTGCTGAATCGGTGCAGCAGTTTGGCCTCATCGTGATTAACACCGATAACATCATGTCTCTCTCGAATGAGATTCCCACACAGCCGGATCTCGTGAGCAAATTCGGAGATGTCTTCTCAGGAGAAGGAAAGCTCAAAGGAAAGCTTCGCCTCGAGATTGATAAGTCTGTAACCCCTGTGGCACTGCCAGTGAGGAAAGTCCCCTTTGCAGTAAAAGAGCCTTTAAAACAGGAACTAGAACGCTTAGTTAAGATAGGCATCCTACAACCAGTAGATGTTCCAACAGATTGGATTTCCTCAATGGTAGTCATTAAGAAGAGCAATGGAAAAATAATGCTATGTATCGACCCAAAACCTCTGAATAAAGCACTCAGAGAAATCATTTTCCCCTTCCAGTGATCGATGATCTACTACCGCTGTTTACAAATGCTAAAATCTTTAGTGTCGTAGACGCAAAGAACGGATTTTGGCATGTGCAGCTAGAAGATGAAAGCAGTCTTCTGACCACTTTTGGTACCCCCCTGGGGAAGGTTCCGCTGGACCCGGATGCCCTTCGGCATATCACCCGCTCCGGAAGAGTTTCAGAGGAGATTGGAATACGCCCTGGAAGGTCTTGATGGAATTAAGCCAATATTTGATGATATCCTTGTTTTTGGTGTCGGAGAAACAGAAGCTCAAGCACTTTCTGACCATGATGCAAAGCTGACGGCATTGTTGGAACGCTGCCGCGGTACTGGCATTAAGTTGAACAAGGAGAAGCATAAGCTCCGTCGCAAAGAAGTAAAGTTTATGGGACATGTTTTATGTCAAGGTGGTCTTAAGCCTGATCCAGACAAGGTACAAGGTATCAACAGAATCTGATGCTACCCTGAGAGCTGAAGACAACAATCAGAAGAGGCTGGCCAGNAAGTTCCAACAGTTCGCAGACACTTATGGTTTTGAACATATAACAAGCTCTCCAACATATCCTCAGTCCAACGGCAAAGTCGAGAACACGGTGAAGACAGCAAAACATCTGCTAGAGAAAGCCGTCAAGTCTGAACAAGACCCATATCTTGCCCTGCTGGACTGGAGAAACACTCCTACAGAAACACTCAACTCGTCACCTGTTCAGCGATTATTCGGTAGAAGAACAAAGACTCCACTCCCAACCTCAAACCAATTGCTCAAGCCGAAGCTACCAGAGAAAATTGATCAGAAGTTGAAGCTACAGAAGGCTAAACAATCCCTGTATTACAACCAAGGCGCCAAAGAACTGAAGGAACTGCGCCCGGGAGACATAGTGCGATTGCAGCTACAAGAATCCCACTTGGGAAAGAAGAAGGATTGGACCCAAGCAAGAGTCGAAGGCAAAGTCGACATAAGCTCCTATCAAGTCAGAACAGAAGATGGAAGAGTTTATAGGAGGAACCGCAGACACCTGAGACATAAACGCGAAGTGATACCACACAATGAAGATGGGATAAGATTATCCCCAAAAGCAACACCAATTTCTGCTACTGCAAATTCTGGTGATGAAATACCATTGGTACCACCTTTCATACCAAGTACTGCAGTCAGCAAGGACCAATCAGACACAGTACCTTTGCAGAACACGGACAAGCCACATTCGGAATATCCACTTCAACCTGCAGCAGATAAGCGGGAGATTTCCCCACCGGTGACCACCACTCGATCTGAACGAATTGTTCGACCACCTACACGTTACGAGTGATTGGAGTTGTCAAAGAAAAAAAAAAAAGAAAGAAAAAAAGGACATGACAAACTCTTAATTTCTTGTTTTTTGTAGTTTTATTTTAAACTAGGATAGTGACATTCAGTTACGTTTTAAACTAGGATAGTGACATTCAGCTGTGTTGTTGACAGCCGAAGAGTCAACATTTTGGGCCCTCAAGACATCTACCGCCGACTGTCGGTGTCTTTCAGGGGTATGACCTGTTCAAATATACATGTATTACTAATCTAAGATTATTATTAACGTGTTACCCCGTAATAAAATATCTATTCAGGCTGTCTGCAATCATTCTATCACACTTAAAGCATTTCTCAAGCACCAAGAGGAACTTGTAAAACGACTTTACCAAAAATAATATACTGCGGCTAAGAACTTGTTCAAGCAGGTACGTGAGAACTATAAGTTATGATTCTTGACAAACAAGCTATCTCATGTGCAATACGAACGGATAAGAATTTTATCCCGATATTGCTGCAAGCATGCCGTGTTGTTAAAAATTTTCAAAACGAACCTCCTAATTTTCGCGTGGAAGTTTCGAAATTTTAATCGAATTGACCTTGCTTAAATTGCTTTTAGTCTTAATTTGACATACTTTAAGATCATCCTACAAAACGTCCGTTAAAGTACTCTCGGTGCGTAACTTTCTCGTGATCAGGCTTCATTTGTTGAACATATGAATTTTCAACGCAACTTCGTAAAGACAAAAGTGAACTGTACGGTCTCCTTACTTAATAAGCATACGCAGTGCATACGGTAAACTGCAGTCATGAACGCACGAATAAATAAAGTAATGAACCAACAAAATTTGTATATTATGGACCATGGGCGGCAAACCTCTTTTTTTTCCAAATATAAATGACAACGAAAACGCAACACGAATGCAGATTACTAATCCGATTACTTTCAAAACCTAGTTGCAAGGTCATTTACTTAGTTGACTTTTTTTGAGTGGCCAAAAACAGGGCAAACAAAATTATACAAAAACACTCGAATAAGGAGAGCACATGATGGATAAACATTTCCTTTAGTCACGTTTCCATAGAGCACAACTCCAAATATGGTTAAAAGAAATTTGCTGACTGTATTTTATTGTATAAAATGCTTCAGTGGCCTTAATAATCCCGTCACAGTTAACTTTCTCAAAACCAGACGTCCTTCCCGCAAAACAATATCAACGGAAGTTGTTCTCTCTGAATAGAAAAGGTGAACTCAACTTAGTGGGTTTTCTTTTCGCAATACTGAAAGGTGACGTTGTTAGGTTTCAGGAGGCGTTAATATCACGCTAACGTAATATTTAACGCATAACTCATCAAAAATACGCCAAAACTTTTCGGTAACACGATTGATGTCCGTGCTTTGTCTCCTTGCAGATGAAGATCACAGCTTTAATTAGGGAGCCTTAATTTCCTCCTCAATTCTTCATCTTTAATGCGATAACTAGCAACTTCCAAATATTCGTGTCATGAAATGACAAAAACGAAAAGCTAACTCGGTTTTTTGAAGTACGATATATTCTGACCTGTCGTTGTATCGGTCCTTTTTCGAAGCTGCTCCCAGTGGTACACTGATGAATAATGGTTATTCATCTATTTTCAGCTTTAGCTCGGCCTATGGATCATTTGTGGAGCCATTTCCTTCCCACCCTTATACTCATAGCCTTAACGTCGTCAGACCAAGGAGTTCTGATAGACAAGCCTGAGTGTGATTCATGTTCATGGAATTGGACGATTTTACAGACTGCTGTGCCGGAACACATAGGGGTTAGTATTATCAAGAGTAGAGTAGAGTAGACATCTATATTTATACAGGATAGCCCCTTCAGTGTAGTAAACACTGGTATCAACAGGGGTCCTGTTAACCACCCATCCCACCCCAGGGGAGGACATCCATCACACAGTAATTTCGTGCGTGGGAAATTAACGTCTCCTGCCCCTAACCCTGCAGGAGACGGGACCTCCATTTATTCGTCCCTATCCGAGAAGACTAGAATATCTAACCATTTCTTGATGTTATAGAAAGGTAGCATATTCTTCTCAATTATTTAAGACCCTGAGCGTTGGTCCGGCCGGGTCTTGAACCCTCGACCTCCCACACAACAGTCCCGCGCACTATCGATTGAGCTAACCGGGAGGCGGTTAGCTCAATACCTTAATTATCTACAGACTTCATCCATAGAATGGTTTTAGAGAATGGTGTGTGGCACTGAACACCATCATTACGAGAAGAGATCAAAATATATTACAAATACTTTTCTAGGTAAAAAAACGCAGTCCCGTTTCATATGACAATAGTTATCTGTTTGTGGCATTAACTATAAGTTTCAGCATAGTGTTTAAGGCATTGCCACCCGTAAAATTTGATTTTTGTCTTTCTCATCATAATCTTTCGATAAAATTTAACCAAAAATTGCAAGAAAGCTCTTCTTCAAAGTAAGGCAAATAATTCAAAGTTAACTGCGACTGAAAGCAGAAAGCGAAAGCTCGACTTTGCCGCTCGCCGTTTTCCGTAAATATCTACTTAACCTCCCTTTTAATATTTTGACCCCTTAACAGACTTGACATTAGAGAGCTTAAGCACCAGACGTTCTTGACAACACGAACGGCAGAGAAGCCGCGTAAGACTGGATCGAGGCCTTCGTTCTTGGCGCGAAATAGGAAGGTTAAGCAGTCGACGTATTTCAGACACGGACTTCTACCCGTGTTAACATGTCTTTACTAAAAGATGCTAGAGATATGACCTCAATGGGCAAGGGAATAAGTTTCTTTACCTCACTCTCTTGACAGAATGAATAATTCGTCTTTCATATTTATTAGGCGACTTGAAAATTTACCACTTCATAGTTCTGTAAACAATGCGAACAAACGAGCATGAAGTTTTCAGTGCATGATCTGGATGCCTAGAGGACCATTTCTCTTTTTCTAAATTCGTTAACCACAGCGAGATTTGTTATTCTTATGTTTATAGTCGGTTGCTCAAAACCTAGCATAGATGCATACGATATACAATGTGCAGTTACAAAATACAACCGATGCAGAAAGACAATCATCTATCTCATTTTGCACTTTGTTATTGTATCTAAATGTCGCTTAAGTGTCTTAATTCTAAATTATCGCTCAAAGTAATTTGTGATAAGCTTAAACCCGGTTTAAAAAAATCTTAGTTCTGCATTTGATGATTCAAATGGACATGAAATCAAATGACTTAACTCACTCAGACTTGGCGAGAAAATTGTCTGCCATTGTCGAATCCCGTTTAATCTATCGATTAAGCAAAAACCACTTTACGCGCTACGAAAACGTTTTTTAATCACTTAATGAAAAGCAGAAGAGCTTTTTATGGTTTTGAGTCAATAATTTATCTCCTATAAACAAAATAACAGCATATTTTTGTGGCGTCCTACCTTCAACCTGAAAAGTGGCGTTCTGGCGTCTGCGACGTGACCACGCGAACGTCATGACATGCGCAGTATGTACATAGTTCCTCTAATGACTTCCGGTAGGCGTTCGTGACCTCAAGAACGTCTGGTGCTTAAGCTCTCTATTAAGTGCAA